GAACGAGATCCAGTCATTTTAGTTTATTGCCTAATATAGGCTTGCCAAACCACTATAAACAACTTTAATTTTACAAGACAAATCTTTGTTATATAGTGAAAATTGTGAAATTTTGTAGCTGGGGTTTCTTGGACATCCTATGACATAAAGCATCAGCCACTTTTGTCAAATGCAATAAAATCATTAAATTGGCATAATTCCTTGGAGTGAAAATTAAGCTTACAGTATACATGCCAAGTATTTTTACCTGTCACGAAAAAAAGAAAAGTTAAGACATATGTTTCAACCTGCTCCCATTTTATGAAAAATTAAAAAAAAAATCGGAATTTTATATATAGCAGTCCAATAAAAGGGTAACTATAGAAACAAGAACAGGCTTAAATGGGTTTCTTAACTTTCTTTCTTTGCTATGCCCACATCCTCGCCAGGAGAGAGTGAAAAATAAAAAACATGCTTAGTAGATCAGGTGGAATTGCAGACTGGATTTTGTGAGTATGCATGCTTTGAAAATAGAGGTGGATATTAGATCTATTTGCCGAAAAATCTGCATGGAGTTGAAAACAAAAGAAATAATTGTATATAACAGTCAATAAGTTTGTTTTTTTGGCTCTAAAAAAATGTAGTATGCATTTATTCTCATGAATAAATAATTTTCAGTAGTCAGAAATTAAGTGGCTTGTACTACGAGGGTGATATTCCTAGTGAAAATGACCGCCATCCAGCCTGTTGTGGTTTTGCACCGTTGTTCACAACCGACACCATGCCCTGGGAGCCGAGTGCACCACCACGTACAGCTACGGGTCGGGCAGGCGGCTGAGGTGCAAGTCTTGGTCTATCATTTTTTAACGTGCTACTACCGTAGAGCATTTTCTTAACCTTTTGAGTTATCTGCAGTAAAAAATAAAAAACACAAAAACAGTTAAAACAGAATTTGATTCTTTTTGTGATAGTAAACATACATTGACCATCTTATGCCCTTTTAAGTTTAAATCTATGGACCAAACGAATTTAGGATTTGGTGTAACAACGTACCGGTAGGTTAGAAAAAAATTGCAAATTGAAATGGTTAACTCAACTGAGAAAATAAACAAGCAGCCTCTCGGCTGAGATAGCTCCGCTGTTAGCAATGAACATTTCAATTAAAGAACAGAAGATATCATTAAAAAATGAACAATATCCATAGTATCAATGCAATGGGACTTGCTGTTTTCAACAAGAATTCAAAAATATCATTTTTCACCATAAATGATTGTGGTTTTTAACAAGAATAAAATATCACTTTTTACCAAAAATGACAAAAATATTCACCAAAATTAGAGAATTAAAGATATCATTACAAAATGATTAAATCTGAGAGAGGTCCACATGTAGTACCTATATATGTAATATCAAAGCAATTGGACTTGTGGTTTTTAACAAGTAGTCGAAAATATCACTTTTTACCAAAAATGACAAAAATATT